CAAATCATAATTTTCATAAATTTTCTGTATTGCTGGTGGAGGCCGCTGATCCAAGCTCATAATTTGCTAATGGAGAAAAGATCTGTCTTAATCCAGTTAAGTGAGCTAATTAAGGAAGGGCTGATTGTATATGTTTTACATTTTTAACTCGGGAAGTCAGAGAAATTAGCTGTCTGAGTGTAAGATCGGAAATCTTAATGGTTACTTGTGCGGAGCCTCGCTGAAAAATTGCCCTTTTGACTTGAGCACAGGTTAGATGGTTTACGAGGCTTGTTTTGCCATTTTGCTTCAGCATAAAATGGTTCCATGGGGTCATCAAGTGGTTAAAAACTAAGGATCTATAAAGGTCTTGGATTCAAGTTTTTAGGACCATGTGGGGTTTAAGATTTAGGTGAGAACCATCCCTACCGTGTAGCCTAAGGTCCATTATATGGACAAAATGTTGAACCAGAAAGACTTGGCACAAAACGGCAAGCTATTTGTGAACCGAGGTAAAATTAACCACAAAATAATAATATTAAAAAAACCGAAACATGTAGGATCCATGGTAGGTGCCCTCATTTTGTACTTACCTTTCTCCAGTGGTAGAACCCTATAGGAAGAATCTTAGGCGAATGGGCCAAATTATATAGAAATTCATGCACCTTTCAAATTCTAACCCAATTTATACCTGGATAAAACAAAATGTAGTAATGCATGATCATGCATTAAGCTAAACAGCTATTCTCCTAACAGAAATCATAAATGTTAAACCAATTTTATACTTCAAAAGGCTAATAAAGTTCGTCTAATCCTAAACCAATTCCATGACACTAAGAGTTGGCCAAATCTTTTATTCCTCCAGTCCTTCTCCAACATGGTCAACAGCAACTCTATCCATCCAATATGTTCTGACCTCGGATCCTAGCACTTAGCTTCTTGAATACTTTTTACCAATTCCTACATTATAACCAACGGACGTTAATGCACAAGGCTAGACACAGAAATGATATAAGAAAGAAAGGTTTCCTAGATTATCTGTCTCCAAAGAGTGAGCAAGATGGAGGGTGATAAATTGTGGACTATCAATAAGGGATTGCCATGACTTTGATACACACTTGAAGCGAACCAGAGTCTTGGCAGGGAGGAAGCAGAGGATGTTGATGATGATATCTAATGGGAGGATTGGCATTCCTCATGGATGATACAGGAAGCTGTAAAAAGAAGGGTTTCGGTGCCTCTGCTCTGTCTCTGTATATATTGGCTCTGTCTTGAGGCAGAGCATTGTAAAACAGGGGACTCTGTATCTAGATAGGGTAATAGAATGCGACACGAAGTATAATTCTAGTAAAACTGAGATAAGGTCTATCTAGTCGATGGATTACATTAACCAAAAGTGGAGGATTTCTTACTGGTTTTAGCACATAAGAGGATATGACTAAAAATACACAGGCCCATCTCACCTCCCGTATGCTCTACACAAGTTTTGGTTTGCCAACTCGACACGATTGAGTTGGAAAGTCCACCAATGGGTCCCATAAGGAAACATAACTTCTTATTTTTAGGAAAACATGATTTTATTTGTGAGAATAAAAAGGAAAAAAAGGTAGCAGTTTGATTGAATTTGTTTATAACCTGCTTTCTGACGTGGGTTTTTTCTTTGCTATTCTGGAACTCAATGTTGCTGTGATGCAAGTCCAGGACTCGGACTGGTGTAGAATTTGTGCTGGTGAATTGGTATTGAATACGGCTTCACAATACCAAGCACACAGCTCAATTGGTTTAGAGCCATAACAATAATGATTAATGAATTGTCCTCCAACAATTAGCTTCCAAGCCGAACAATCCTGTGCTTGGCTATATCTGATTCTGACACACGGTTCGGAGACACTGCTAGCTGATGCTCCCTCATCTCTCGAACCCTTGCAACTTCCAGGATGGGGGTTTGGAAAAACAGACAGGGCCTGGTGGTGGGACTGTCAATGTTACAAGGAAAGAGAAGAAAAATGTGAAGGAGAAGCACAACATACCTGATTCTGTTCAACGTGGCACAAACCGATCAACATTAAAGCCTTGGAGGCCTCGGAAGTTTAAAACAAAAGACTGTCCAACTTGCTGTCTTCCTAACAGCGTGAGCATTGAAGAAAGAACAAAAGTAGAGAAATGAAGGGAAGAGGAAGAGCCTAAGCAGTTCTTTCTCAAACCAAAATAGTAATCCATCATTCAAAATTTTAGTAAGAAAATCAAAAAAGAAACAACTATAGTTAATCACCTAAACCATTTTGATGGAATTTTACCCTCTATGACATAAAAAAATTTCTCCCTAACCAGTGTTACTCCAGGGATGACAATTTCATACAAATCCTATAGATACCTGTTTGAATCCACTCAAATAAATATTTTTTTTTATATAATTATTTTAATTGATGAGTAATGATGGGATATAAAATTTGTCAAACTAGACCAAAACTTATATAGATACTCGAAAATTAATAAATAAAATATTTTAAAAATTATTTTTTTCCCTGTTAAATAAAAAATAAAATATAAATATCTTAAAAACTCGAATTGTCTTAAAAAAAAAAACAATAGAACTCATGTGTAACCATGGCTTGTTTATCCAAACAATACCGGGTTAAATCTTGATGTACAAATTGCTAAAGCTGGTCTGAAGAAACCACTATTCCTAAGCTAAAAAAAAAACCTTACTGATTGTTTGGAATATGAACTTCCGTGAATCTTTATCTCTGTCAATTGAAGTAGAACTTTATCGAAATTCTTTGAATTAGCTAACAAAGCAAGAGATTATGGTGTACTCGATAATGATAAGTCAATTAATTGCTAAAAGACAGATTAGGTTGTCCTATATACTGATAAGTTAATTAATTCCTAAGATTCTCAGTAGATGACGGAATTTCCTGACAACGTCAGTATAGCTGGCTGTTGAAGATGTCCAAGTCACCTGATATCGGGCTGTCCGATCCAAGAGCTCCATTCTTTCCAGGCTGACAGGATTCTCTATCCATTCTGAGAAACATTCTGTTGCCGTCAAGCACCAAAGTTCCCAACAGATCCTGATATTCCACTCATGATATACAGCGAAATCTATGTTGCAAGAATAGTGGAGAAAAGAATTCAGTCCCTCCATCATCTCCGGCCGAGATGTTCAAAAATACGTTAAGCATGAAAAGAAACAAAGTACAAGTATGTTGGTGCAGGCTGAGGCTGAAGACAGCAAAATAATAAATAAATAAAAAACCTAATTATAATGAGCAAAACCGAAGTTAGCAGGTTTTCTCTCTCTTTCTAGAATAACAATAATAACATTTGCATATCTTAAATAAATTAAAATTTTTATCTTAACTAGAAAGTAAAAATAAAAATATAAGACTATAAAAAAAGTATAAAATTCAAAAATAATATAAAATCCAAAAATAATAATAAAGATCACAAAAACTATCAAAATCACGGCGAAATATAAAATCTGCAAAATCTAAAGATTCAATAACCAAAAATTTTTTTTTCAAAAACTTATGTAAAAATTTAAGTATTATTTAATAGTCGAATCAAAATTTACAGTATTTTTTAAATTATTATTCTAACATGGTTTAATCAAATCTCTTATTAAATCTAGATTTGTTCTACTAGTTTTTTAATGTATTTATATTTTTATCTAGTTATAATAAATTCAAACATGATTATCTAGAATCATTTATTATTATCACAAGATGTTATAGTATGGTATCAGCCTGAGATCCACATCAAGAAATGGTAAAAGAGACCTCTCTCCTTGTCCAAAAGGGTTTCATCCTAGTCTAAAGTATGAGTGTTTAGTCCCTCGTCTTTCATTTAAGCATCGGGCTTGCAAATTATTTAATGGAGCATAACTCCTAATACCGAGCAAAGGTCTTGAAGATTTTGAAGGAAAAAAGAAGTATAATTTTGCATTCCGTGTTGAGTAAACAAAGTGATTAATCATGCATGGTTATCAGATTATAAGAAAAATAACGCTAATTAGCTACTCTAGGAAAAGCTGGGATGCGTCCACTGCTTTTCTATGCCCCAATATAAGATCATCACCCCGTTCGAGTGGTGTGTTTGTTAGATTAATCTTCTCGTTGATGGCTACATTTAGAGCTACCAAAAATCAATGTCTTTTTTGGATTAAAAAAGACTCTAAAAAGATGTTGTTTTAGTTTTTTAAAACTTTAGACAATGTTGATTCAGTTTTTTTTATCGAGATTTAGACAAAAAGAAAGACTTTTTTTCTGTATTAAAATAAAATTGTAAATCAATGAATTAGTTGGGTTTGATAACTATATATTAAAATACAAATATAAGTTTTAAATACTGTTGTGGTCAGGGTAGTTAGCTTAATTGGGCATTTAAATATGTAGACTTTGGAGCATGATAAGTTAATCAAATGAAGCACACCTAACATGTGGGCTCACGCCAACGTTCCAGAAGGGTTTGTTTTGGTAAAAAAAAAGTAACCAAATGCACGCTTGGCTTACTGTCTGTACCTGTTCTTATAGCTTTTTATGACAAGACAACAATGAATGAAACTTTAAATTCACAATAGCTTAGGTTATGTGTACTCTTTCTTTTCGTTTTTTTTTGTGTCCGGACAAGCTTGCACCTTGACTACTTGTTCTTGACGTTCATTGCAGTATTATAAAACTGTTATTGAAGAAAATACCTTCCCATGTTTTCTCCACTGAACAACCTGTCCCTACTTCGATTCCAAGTCAGAGAATTCTCTTCTTCCACTAAAAACAACCATATGGCTTCTTAACAAAGAATATTGAAATTGTTTAGACTCGCGCCCTTTAAGACCCCCCTGTGCCACTATCAACCACCACCAAGCAACTCACAAAAATCCCTTCGACATTTCACCTTCTAGCTCTCGTTTTCTCTTAGGACTATCTCAGGTTTCCAAATTCTTAGTTTTCTTCCAAGTCTAGCTATATCGTTTGTTGAATCTTAAAGCATTCCTTGCAAAACCCAGCTTCCTTTAGACTATGAGTTCTGTTTTGAATCATGTCCAGCTGTTATGTTGGTACTTTGCGTCTGTCTATACCGTGTCTGGCTTGAACTATGATGGGTCGACTCTGTTGTCACTCTTAAGGCAGTGGAATTATGTGCCTCCTTCCATAACTTCAAGCTGGAATGCATCAGACTCAACTCCATGTTCTTGGCTAGGTATAGGATGTGATAGTACAACTCATAGTGTAGTTTCTTTGAACCTCTCTGGTTATGCAATTTCTGGTCAATTGGGACCAGAGATTGGACTGTTAAAACATTTGAAAACCATCTATTTGAATACCAGTAATTTCTCTGGTGACATACCCTCACAGTTAGGCAATTGTAGTCTACTTGAGCACTTGGATTTGTCCAAAAATAGCTTTACTGGAAAAATACCTGATGGCTTTAAGTACCTTCAAAATTTGCAGTATTTGAGTCTTTCCTATAATTCTCTCTCTGGTGAGATACCTGAGAGTCTAACCAGGCTTGAAAGCCTTGCTGAGTTGTTTCTCGATCATAACATTCTTGAGGGTAGAATTCCTACAGGTTTCAGCGATTGCAAGAATTTGGACACCTTAGATTTGTCCTTCAATAGCTTTAGTGGGGGTTTCCCTTCAGACCTTGGCAATTTTAGCAGCTTAGCAATCTTGGCCATTGTTAATAGTCACTTAAGAGGTGCCATCCCATCTTCCTTCGGCCAACTAAAAAAGCTTTCTTACCTTGACCTCTCCCAGAATCAATTGTCTGGGAGGATTCCTCCTGAACTTGGGGATTGCGAGTCGTTGACGACCTTAAACTTGTACACAAATCAACTTGAAGGAGAGATTCCGGGTGAATTGGGGAGGCTAAGCAAATTAGAGAACCTGGAATTGTTTGACAATCGCTTGAGTGGTGAAATTCCTATCAGCATTTGGAAGATTGCAAGTCTTAAGAGCATCTATGTGTACAACAACAGTCTTTCTGGTGAATTACCGCTGGAGATGACTGAGCTCAGGCAACTACAGAATATCTCACTGGCACAAAATCAATTCTATGGGGTCATTCCCCAAACTTTGGGAATCAACAGCAGCTTATTGTGGCTCGATTTCGTTGGCAACAAGTTCACTGGGGAAATTCCGCCAAATCTTTGCTACGGGCAGCAATTGAGAATTCTTGTTATGGGTTCCAACCAACTTCAAGGCAGCATTCCTTCTGATGTGGGAGCCTGCCCAACACTCTGGAGATTGAACCTCGAGGATAACAACCTCTCAGGTACCCTTCCACAGTTCGCAGAAAATCCTATCCTCCTGTACATGGACATCAGCAAAAATAACATTACAGGCCCAATTCCACCCAGCATCGGGAATTGTAGTGGTCTCACTTTTATTCGTCTTTCCATGAACAAGCTTACAGGGTCCATACCCTCAGAGCTAGGTAATCTTATAAACCTTCTGGTAGTGGATCTTTCATCCAACCAACTGGAAGGTTCTTTGCCATCTCAGCTGTCTAGGTGTTACAAATTAGGCGAGTTTGATGTGGGGTTTAATTCACTGAATGGTACAATTCCGTCAAGTTTGAGGAACTGGACGAGATTATCCACTTTGGTTTTAAGTGAGAATCATTTTACCGGGGGCATTCCACCTTTCCTGCCAGAACTTCGAATGCTTACAGAGCTACAACTTGGTGGGAATATTCTAGGAGGTGTGATTCCTTCATCCATTGGATCGGTGCGGAGTCTGAAGTATGCCTTGAATCTCAGCAGCAATGGATTCGTCGGAAAACTTCCTCCCGAGCTAGGGAACTTGAAAATGCTTGAAAGACTCGATATATCAAACAATAATCTGACAGGAACTCTAGCAATTCTTGATTATATCCTTTCATGGGACAAGGTCAATGTTTCAAACAATCATTTCACAGGTGCAGTACCGGAAACACTGATGGACTTGCTTAACTATTCTCCGTCATCATTCTTGGGCAATCCTGGCCTATGTGTCATGTGTTCTCCATCAAGCCGCATAACATGCCCCAAGAACAGAAATTTCTTGCCTTGTGACAGACAAACAAGCAATGAAAATGGACCATCTAAAGTGGCAATCGTAATGATAGCCCTTGCTCCTGTTGCTGCTGTTTCTGTGCTTCTTGTAGTCGTTTACTTGTTTATCAGGCGCAGAAGATATAGGCAGGATTTTGAGATCACTTCTCAAGAGGGTCCATCTTCACCACTCAACAAGGTGCTGGAAGTTACTGAGAATCTAAATGACAGATATATCATTGGGAGGGGAGCTCATGGAACAGTTTATAAGGCTTCATTGGGAGGAGACAAAATCTTTGCAGTAAAAAAAATTGTATTTGCAGGCCACAAAGAAAGGAACAAAAGCATGGTTAGAGAAATTCAGACCATTGGGAAAATCAGGCACCGGAATCTGCTCAAATTGGAGGAGTTTTGGTTTCAAAAGGACTACGGTCTAATCCTGTATAATTACATGCAAAATGGGAGCCTCTATGATGTCTTACATGGAACCAGAGCACCACCAATCCTGGAGTGGGAAATGCGGTATAAGATAGCTATTGGAATTGCACATGGATTGGAATATATCCATTATGATTGTGATCCTCCTATAGTGCATAGAGACATCAAACCAGAAAACATTCTTTTAGACTCTGATATGGAGCCTCATATCTCTGATTTTGGCATAGCTAAGCTAATGGATCAGTCTTCTGCTTCAGCACAGTCCCTCTCTGTTGCGGGGACTATTGGATATATAGCTCCAGGTAACTTGATCACCTACTGTTTTAAGCATATTCTTATTATGTTATCCTGCTACTGTATTTCTTGTAGAGAAAATCTAATCATCTTTCGCTTTCTCAGAAAACGCATTTACGACAATAAAGACGAAGGAATCTGATGTTTATAGTTATGGGGTTGTTTTGCTTGAGCTTATAACTAGAAAGAAGGCACTGGATCCCTCATTTACGGAGGGAACAGCTATTGTAGGGTGGGTCAGGTCTGCTTGGAACAGCACGGAAGACATCAACAGGATTGCTGATTCAAGTCTTGGAGACGAAGTTTTGAGTTCTTACAGCATCAAGGATCAAGTCACTAACGTGCTTTTGATGGCTTTGAGATGTTCTGAAGAAGAGCCTAGCAAAAGACCCTCAATGAGAAATGTTGTCAGGCAATTAATAAAAGCAAAGGATCGCAGAAGAAGGAGGTGAAACTAGAATTCTGTTATTGACTAACTGATCCTATCAGATAGTGCGGTCCCTCGTTTCCGCATGTTTTTGTGCAGGGATCCCCGGTTTTTCAATCAATACTCCTTAAACATTTCCATTTCCTGAGAGATTTCTTACAAATTGTTTCTTGTATCAGAGGGGTGATAATGTTTCCTTTGTATCTCAGAATTTCTAGGACGTTAGCTTTGGAATTTTGACCAAAGTGACATCTTAGTTTGAATCATCAATCATGAATTCTTGATCACTCTCACTAACATTGAGACTAGCTACCACCATATGACTACTGTTTTCATAAGATAAACAATCTTCTACCTTTGAGTTGAGCAGATCATAGTCTCAATGAATTAGAATGTAGGTTGTTCAAAGCATAACAATCTGAAGAAGGGAAAAATACATATACCCTTGTGATTTATATGCAGGATTTTCGAAAATGAGAAGATTCCTTCCATCTGAGGATGTAAATTGCCTGCAGCTGCTTTTAATACGAGGTTAATTTACTTTTATTGGGATGGGTGGTTGTCAAACATCCTCGTCTGGATGTTATATTGATAGCTTTTAACATCCTTCTGAAGCTTGAACGAAATGACATCTCAAATACTGACTTGATTTCTTCCACAAAGAAGGTAAAATGCGATGCAATGAATCTGGAACACCTGGGCTTTATTCCTCAATAACCTCACCCATGTTGCACTCAATAGTAATAGGTTGTCAGGTACAATCTCTGCTTCAATCTTCAATCTCTCTTCTATCAGAGCCCTTGGAATTTCATACAACCAACTTGAAGCCACTCTTCCTTCAGGCATGGGCATCACTCTTCCTAATCTGCAAACTCTTGGCCATAGTGCTAACCAATTTACTGGCTCTGTTCCTTCTACAATGCAACAAATCTGGAATACCTACGAAGCAACGCCTACAAACTTGCTGGATCAACCTCCAACAAAATTGGAAGTGGAAGAACTGGTGATTCGAACCTTTTGTTGTCTTTGCTCAACGCTACTAACTTAGAGGTCTCGGCTCTAAATGACAACAACTTTGGTGGGATATTTCCTGATTTAACTTGGAACTTCACCTGACTTATAGGTTACGCAGCTCCAGGTGAACATACATTCTTCACATTTTCTTTTCCTTCTGGGAAACTAATCTGCTCTTACTGGAGGGAGTGGCATGCAAGATGGTGGATAGTGGTTCAAATGACAATATTTTCATATAGTACGCTGGCCATGGTTCTCCAGGTGTAGTTCGCAAGTATTAGTTAATTAATTCTAAGAAAGTTACAATTTATAATCTGTACGAATCATCTTGTGGGTAAAATCATCAGCAATGCCTCCAGTGAAAAGGAAGCATGAAGCTAATTCGTATAAAAACATGGTAAGTAACTACTAGTTTTTTACATGATAATTAATTGTCTTGCAGAAATTCAAATGGGATTACACGACTTGATTGATATTCTCGCAACTATTTATGTATCCCTTGATATATTATTAATTACAGGTATTCTACCTCGAAGCTTGTGAGCGTGGGCACGTTCCAAGCATCTGGAGCGTACATGCAATTACCGCTACAAATGGACATGAGATTAGCTATGCAGCGTCTTGCCATGGACAACACCCTTCTCCTCCCTCAGAATTTCTTTTTTTAGATTAACGTGGATGTCCGGGCTAGCTTGCGCGCACCACGACTAATCCCACGGGCCTTGAAGTTAACGACCATATAAGCCTCCAGTGACCATCATATGAGCAACCAAAAACTCGAACCTGAGACCACAGAGGGAGCAAACCCCTTAATCCTAAGTTTTTACCACTTGGCCACTATCTAGATGGTTCTCCCTCGGAATTTCTTGCTGGCATGGGAGAAGTATTTAGCATTTCTTGGATGGAGGATAGGTTCATTATTAATTTTATAATAACATTTAAAGTTAATTAAGCTGATTGTTAATATTTTATTTAACATTTGCAATGTTGGGATAAATGTGGAGCGAATGATCGGTGCATCCACCAGAGCTTGCTCATGGAATACCACTCCTAATACTGGAGGCTCCCTTCAAAATGAATTAGGCAAATAGATAGAAAGTAGTGTCCTAGTTTATTAATTTTAAAACGAAGCGCTCTATATATAGTTACAGTGCTCAAATGTGATTCAAGATGTTATTCTTCCATATAAACAATTATAATACATGAATGATGTGATTTACTAATTATTTACATTCTAATTTTCTTTATTATTGTCGCTTGTATTTTCATAACTAAAATATAATAATTAATTTTTATCTATATTGACAAAACTCAAACCGGGGCAAGGTTTAAATTACATGTTCAATTTAAATTAATTCAAAATAATTAAAATAATATTTTTTTATTAAAAAAAATAATAATAATTTTTTCATCAAGTTTTGTCCTATGTTTCGATCAATTTTTTTCTATTTTTTATTTAACATCTATCAATTCACAGGTCACTGGCGCTGAAAACATGATAAATTTGCACAGTTTAGAGACCCAATCATGTTCCAAGCAACATGATGTTATAAGAAAGGCATCGGCCCATGTAATCGTTTATTATTATATTTTAGTTATGAAAACACAGAAGAGAAAAATGCTGTTTGAAAGCCAGCCCATAATGTTATAAGAAAGGCATCGGCCCATGTAATCGTTTATTTCTTTATTCAACAACCTAATTTTTCTTTCTAGTGGTGAACCCCTTTAAAATAAGAGTAAACCTCAATTTAGTCCCTGTCCATACACCCTTCTTAATTACAGGTCAAGCCTAAGTATTTTATCAATTAGGTCCTTAAAAAAGCTGTCATGTAAAAAGAGGTCCTAAGTGAATCTATGATGATATCTATCCTCTATATAATATGCTTTATGTATTAAAACAGTGTGTTTTCAAAGAAAATTTGGCATCGAGGATAATCTAAGACATTTAAGATCAAATATTAAATTTAATATATCTGTAGCCTAATTGAACATTTAGCATAGATTAGGGACTAAATTAGGTTTCCTTGTGATAATGAAAGTGAAGCAGAGATGTAGCTTCCTACCGACCCTTCACTCGTCTTCCATGTGACTTCTTTTCTTCGTTTTTTAAGATGGGGACCCGCCTTGGCATCTTCCTTGTTCATTCATTCATGAAGGACTACCAGGAAATTGCTTGACAGGTCCTGGAAAGAGGCTTGCGAAGTTGCTTGGCAACTTCCTAGCAATTCCTCAGTTCATTTTGAATGTCTATATATAAATATATATACACACACACAAACACGCACCAGACTTGGCAAAACTGAGGCCAAATCCACTTGGGAAGGTAAAATCGGTTTGAAATAAAGAATGGGGGCGATGCAAATATTTGATGTCCGAGACAAATTGACAAGAAAAGAAGAGGCAAGATCATTATGTCCATGCTGTGGAGGGCCAGTGATGGCAATGGATTATGATTCACATTTATACTTCTGTTTCATCCCAATCTCCCAGAAAGTCAAGAGGAAGTTTTCCTGCGTTGTCTGCTCCAGACGACTGGTTCTTGTTCAGTGATCTTTAATCTCACCACACAGTCTTGAACATATAGTATCTATCATCATATCCAATGCGGGGCAAGCCCTTGTATCTCAATGTGATCAGGGTCATGCTAGCTACTGTGCGTTGATGTCTGATGAAAATAACATACATATGTGCTTTGCAGACAGCATATATATCATGTAATGCTTGTTATGGTATATGAACATCAATTGGCTTCGTCATCAATGTCACAGTGTCCCCCTGCATTCAAGCGCAGCTCATCTTCAGATTTTTATAATGTTAACGTTGGGATATGAATTAATTTATAACCACCGCTTTTATAATCCTCGCGTTCTGGAGGTTTGAGGAATTTTTCGCCAATTTAGATCCCAGTTAAGTGTCTTTTCTTAGGCTTTATATCAGGTAGGGTTTGGTTATAATCTTCGTAACAAAATTAAAGAAAATATTTGTTTTTCTAACTAAACACATTTGCATCCTTCTCGTTTTTATCTTAAATGCAAACTATGTATTAACACAAGCTAATGTCTCAAAATAGCTCGGAGGTGAGTTTCAAGATAAAAGGAGCACTGCTGCCCATGGTATTATATTAGACAGATTACTCTCAAGTATTCACACATGGTTTTTTGACACAGCCATAATGGAAGTTAGATCATGTAGTTTCTCGCAGTTGAGAACTTTCATTTTGAACTAAAAGATGCTTAACTAAACTCTTCGTTACGTTGCTTAGCCCCTTGGGAACAAAACATGAGTCATAGAAACCCTTTTATTTCAGCAACAAAAAGTTGCTGTATGTGATTAATTTAATATCATATTTATTTTTATATTTTAAAAATATTTTATAAAAAAATAATTGTTTTTTATTTAATTTTTTTGTATTTTATATCATTTTAATGTGTTAGTATCAAAAATAATTTTTAAAATAAAAAATATTATTTTGATATATTTTCTAGTAAAAAACATTTTAAAAATCAGTTACTATCATACTTTCAAATATCATCTAAAATAAATAAGATTATACTTGCGGTGCATCCTATATTTCTAAATAAAAATATATTTTTTTGTCTTTATTTTGATATTTTTTTATTTGATAACGAGACTATTTTGGAATTGTGTTTCTAATAATGTTTCTTTAAATTTAAATTTTTTTAAAAAAATTATTTGTATATATTTTTATGTTTTTGATGTATTAATGTTAAAATATTTTTAAAAAAATATTATTTTAATATATTTTTAAATAAAAAATATTTAAAAAAAATCATTGCTGCATCCTTAAAAACCCACAAATAATACCATCATTTTTAAATGGTTCAGAGTATTTTAAACAATTCGATCCCATTTATCTAAACTAACAAGCACTAATAATCTTGAATGTAAATGGGGATCTTAACCATATAATTGAAAGGGTTATGGAATTTGAAAAGGGAGCTAAAGAATGAGAAATTCTCTATAATTTTTTTTTATTTGGATATTTAAATGGGTCATAGCCCAAAT